TTGCCACCCTCTATATATACTATGTATACTCCCTGGTATTGCTCATAATTTGTTTTTCTTTGTTATGGCATTATAGTAATTCTTTTGAAAATCTCCACACCGCTTACATATTTTGCTACAGATACACAGAGCATATCATTCAGAATTTTGCGTTTCTTCTTGCACATCTGAATGACAGACACACTACGTATATTTGCAAAGTACTTATCACTAAATTGCCTGCTAGCTATGCTTTTAGAGCACTTTCCTCAAGGCTTTTAAACACTCATTTTGCCAAATGAAGTAATTTCCCTAAAATTGCACCACATTTTTCTCTTCTATAAGGATGTGGTTGTTCGGTTAAAAGCACTTGATAGTCATTAGTGGCACATGGAAAAACATAGATGTAGTCTAATACTTCATTACTGAAACCAATTGTTCTTAATGAGTAAGAAATTCAGTGCAATACTGTATCTGTGAAGGTAGGGATGACCATATTGTACCAGCAGAACACATCTACAGCAAATATTCTCTGCTCTTTTTAGCAATAAGAGCATAATTCTCCCACCTTGTTAATAATAGAAACTATTACACATGACTATTTACTACAATTTAGTTTTAGAAGAAAGTTGTATGAATATTATATGAGTTTTCTGAATAAAATTTTTGGCTTTAGTGGTAGAATAAAATAAGTGATTGATTGATTGATTTATCTCGGCCAGGGTTGTGGGGGGCCATAAACCTATAAAATAAAGTAAAACCAGTTTGAATTCTTCCAGCTTTCAGGGAAAGGAAGAGCTGGTTGTATGGGTGGATTTAATTAAATCTAGATCTACAGCAATCGTTGCTAAATTCGAACACTATAAGCAAAAATAATTCATTAAAAGCAAAGGAAGGGGGCTGAAAGGTAACTACATATGGGCTCAATGACCAATTTCCCAAAGAAATAGTGGAACTAAGAAAAAACTTCCCATCCTGAAGCAACTCCGGAAGAGAGGTAGACTAAAAATGATGAAGCACCTGATCCAGCTGCAAGCAGACATATGCTTATTACAAGAAACACACCTAATGGAATCCGAAACTCAAAAATTGAAAACTCCACAATTTAGCCAAATACAGTATGCCCATCAACTTATAATTATAAGAAATGAGGTGTATCAATTCGGATAAACTAAAGAAATAACCCATAACACGACAATCACAGACCCTGAATAAGGCATTATTAACAGCACAATCAACAACAAAACCTCACTATTGCAAACATATATGGATCCAATTCTGATGACTTTCATATTTCTTATTTTTATATTTCTTTCTCTCCTTGCTACTTGCTCATCATGTTCTTGGCATCCATACAACTTACTCTCACCAAGGCCGTCTGACCCCCCAGCTCCGGGAGTCTGTGTGAAGACCACAGATAAAGGGCCTGTTTCCCTCAGTGGGGGCAAAGACAGACACTATGGATAAACTCATCTGTAACATCTTCATTCTGTCTTGATAAACTGCTTAAGCTTAAGGAACCTGCCTCATCATTCAACTCTAAAAGAACCTGAGGTTTCTCTGAAGAAATCTATCACTAGTAACTTAATTATATCCGATATTCTAGAACCCAAAATTCATCCCATTACAATCAGTGATCTTGCCCCTGTTTCAATAAATCTAAACATCAACCAACCCAAACAACCCATTGGTAGATGGAGGTTTAATATATCTCTGCTTAATGACCCTGACTTCAACACATTCTTTATGAAAGAGTGGATATCCTTCATGGTGATAAACGACTCTCCTGAAATCTCATCCGCATTACACTAGGAAACAGTGAAGGCAGTGCCGAGGGGAAAGATCATATCATTTTCATCATACAAAAAAGGAACAGGAACTTGAAAAAAATCTTGAACAGAAAATTAAATGACATTTATGCTAAAATTCCCAGAGAGCTAGAGCAAAAAGAACTGACAAACACCAAATCACAGCTCAACAATATTATTAATAAAAAACAGAATTTCACATTCAAAAGCTCAGACATGAACATTTTAAACACAATAACAAATGTGAGGAACTCGGGAGTTTCTGTCACAGGGGTGCGGAATGATGCAGGCAGAAAAAGATGGCGGACGATCCACTGCTGGCTCCACAGGAACACAGAGGCTTATTTACAGGAAATGAAAACACTGGGAATACTACAAAACAAACAGACCACCAGGGGTCAAAACTAACAAAACCAAAAAGACCTACAAGGGGAAAACTGGTAACAGAGAAGAGGCAGGGAAGCAATCATGGCAAACAGAGGAACTAACATCACAGAATCAGGGAACCACAGTCAACAAGAACACCATCAATGACTCCACAGGGAACAGAGCAGGGGGGTGTTCCATGGTCATTTATAATAGCTTCATAATAATAATGTCATAATAACTTAATAAAAATTACAATGAATCCAGTGTGATGCAAGGCTTAAACTTGGACTTAAACTCAATGTAAGACCACTGGCTCCTAAGGCACTAATAATTACTGATTTTAGTCTTGGTGCCCTATGCCTCACAGAGACCTGGCTTAAACTTGGACTTCTCAATGTAAGATCACTGGCTCCTAAGGCACTAATAATGACTGATTTTAGTCTTGGTGCCCTATGCCTCACAGAGACCTGGCTTAAACTGAATGACTTCATGGCACTAAATGAATCTACTCCAGCTGAGTACAGTTATAAGCATAACCCTCGACCAAATCGCAAAGGTGGTGGTGTTGCTGCAACATGAATGGCTCGTACAGACGGTTGCTGACCCTGATAAAAAAACTAGGGAAACATTTGGCCAACCAAATTAAAAAACATACAGAAAAATCAATTATACCAGCAATAAAGAATTCGTCAGGGCAGACCATGTATGCAACCAAGAAGACAACTTTTTTTTTTAATTAACTGAAGAACAGATCAAGACGTTAAGTGAAGCCACTCCAAATCAGCCAACCCCTCTCCATCCCTGCCCACCCCCCTTTATAACATGATGGTACACAGACAAATAAGATATGGCAGGTCAGGGGAGGGGAGGGGAGGGGAGGGCGCGTGGTTGGATATTAGAAAAAAGAAAAAAGAAATGTATCCTTATGCAGATAAGGATGCATGAATTGCATATGAAATATACTACTCAGATACAGTGAAAAAATCAGAACACAAATAATTTTTTAATTGTGATGACAGTTGCATTGTCGAATGATTACTCAGTCATTCAGAGCCATTTTCTGTGAATGGCAACAAAAATGTATTTGCCCTACTCTTCAATTCAAGGGATTTCCTCATTTTATTGTGAATTTATGTGTGCAGTTTGACAAAGTGATTGGTGTAGAATACTGAGTATTACGGTACTCTTGCCTATTGTCAGCTTCCTACACTGGCCTTAAAATGTGAATGAAGAGAAAACAATGTGGACCTGGGTTGCTATAACAACCCCCTTCATGTCTATTTTTTCACTTCTTATTAAATGTCAGAGAGCTGAAAAGGATGAAGAGGAAGTGGCTTCACCTATATGACAGCAGGCATTGAGCAAGTTCCATTCTTCCCCCATTTTCATTGGGACAGATTTTTTAAATCTACCACACACTGTTTTCCCTTTTAATTCATATTATCATGGATCCTCATTTAATCCTTAGTTCGTGTTGATTTTTTTTCAAGATAATCTGAGATGAAATACCTTGTATTGATACAATGAGGCTGTATTTCTCTATAATGGGCCCAGTTAGGGAGTTCTCCCGTGTGACGATACAGAGCAAAGTCCAGAAAAAAATGGCAGTTTGCACTTCCAACAGATTCTTTTTGGAATTATTTCTGCTTCGTGCTGATCTGAAACTCTGTCGTTCCCCTTCCTGTCCAGCATTTTGTAAAAGCTGCTCTCACATGCCCATCACCATGTGACATGGATTTGTTTGCCAGCCCACCTGAAAAGTGTTTTACAAATCTGCGGCACAATAAAATGAATACCCAATGTGGAAAGCAATACCTAATCACAAACTGGTAAAAAAAAAAACTACAAAGACTAGCGTTTTCATACATGAATCATGAAAACTTGAGTCAAATTTCTCTTTTTAATTACTTAATTAATTAAGTTAGGTGATGGTGAAATTTAACAAACTCATGAAATGGCTGAGGTGCCCCTGAGGAGAGGTTAGGGAACTGAAGCAGTGTTCATCTAGCCATCTTAGAAGATATCAAGAACTTTTTGGAGAAAAGAAGAAATTCTTGTTAGTTTTTATTCTGTTAGTTTTATTCAGTCAAGGGGGGGTCCAGGGGAATGAACGGAAGGGTGGACACATGGGACCCTGACGTGAGACAGTACTGGGGTTGCAGACACCCGATGTGCAGGGACCCGGGAACGGGAAACTGGAAAGACAAAACACAATGGGACAGTCTAACCAGGTCATTGGACAAGATAAAATCTGTAGCTCTAAATCACCCATGCCTGCACAGGAAATGTGGGGCTGGACAGGCAGAGCTAGTAGGACGTGACACCAATCCCATAAAGTGCATATGAATTTAGAAAAAGTCATGATTTTTATGAGCAATACAGTGGAGGATAAGAGGCTGGGTGGCTTAGCGGTTTCATCCCTCCTCCTGGCTCTGTCTCTTCTCCGCTGTTTCAGTGTCTGCTCTGTGTTCTAGCACCCAAGCACTCCAGTGCTTCCTGCACCTTGCTGCAACTATGTATTGGATGAGTTTTTATGGAAAAACCAATGACTGGATAGTATCTTTTGAGCATCTCCAGTCACAATAGCCAACCCTACATACAAACACTTCTTGTTGTGGTGTGGGGGCTATACTGTCCCTGCTAGTTTCCACAACAAAGATTCAGTTCCATAATTGGCATGCAATTGCTTTTAGTCTACTTTTTCAATTGAAGCAGCAATCTGTTGCCAAGTGAAATATGATCTTGCCATTAAACAATCGAGTTTTAGTATCATGTTTTGTACCATCTCCTTTCAAATCAGTTTATTAAAGGAAGAATTTAAGAAATAAAACACTATACAAGACCTTTCATTTTGGAAAGCTTTCTTTATTTGTGTTCCAACATTACTGCATAGAAATACATATGAACGGGATACTATGCCAGTTTTGCCCCAATGACAGCAAACATCCTACACCATTCAGTCCCAGACGTTTAGTGTACCAAACATTAGATTGTGCGAGAGCTCTGCATTACGTTTACTATCATCACACAAACTCAGGAACATTCTATCACCAGAATTTCAGCTATAATCATACATATAAAGCACACTAAGTATAAACAAACAGTCGTTTACATGTTTGTCAGTCACGTAACAGGAAAAGCCCTTCATACTGTGCTACATAAAGCCCATTTGCTAGTTTACACATCTCCTATAGCAAACAGTGAACTTGATATTGAAGTTTGACTTAAAAATATTTTGTTTGGTATTCTTAAGGCAACCAATGGCATTAAAATAATTTAAAAATCAGATATGGAAGGATAAGAACATCAGAGGTATACAGTTGCATTAGGCTGAAATAGATTAATATACATATCTATGCTTTACAACCAAATAAAGAACCATATAAAACTAAAAATATCATTTTTGGCCCCCTTTAAATCACGTGATAACAGCATTTTTTCTTATTTCTTAGAAGTTGGCATAATATTTTTGGAAAAATGGTTTGAAATGTAGAAGTGCAACACTATCTGAATAGACCAAACACATATTACATCAAAGAGTTGCTACTTATTACAATATAAACATTGCATTTCAACTTAAATTCTGGATTCTGATGATCTGGATTTTCAGTCGGCTGCATTTTAAAAAATGAAAAATCGTGCATGTACTGTATGCTTGTAGCTGTCAATAGAGAAAGTTAAGTTCTGTATTCTACATTTGTGATCCTCATCAACAAAACTAACAAAGATCAGAGGAAGCCTGTAATGACACGCAAGTGGACTGAGACACACACACGGCCCCATTTTCAGTTACTAACAGCAAAGACAGTTTACATTTGTCCTTCTCAGACAGCGAAGCCTGTACCTCAGTGTGAGAGGGAGGACAGAGCTGAGGCACCCAGCAGCTCCTGCTGCACGGTGAAGCACAGATGAAGCACAACTACGTGGCTTAATGTGCTCAGCCCCCCTTCAAGTCAGAGATGCTGCTTCTGCTTCACTGTAATTTGTTGCAGCTGCAAGGGCCTTTTCGCTATTCTCTGTGGTTAAAAAACAAAATCATTCAGAATCATTAAAAAAAAAAAAATAGTTACATTAAATATAAGACTTTAGCTTAAAATGATGCTTGTGTTTTACCCTTAAGAACTGCTTCATTAAAACTGCTGTATGAAAATATGTCCATCCATTTTCTAATTCAGGCGAATCATATAAGGAAAATTAAACTATAAGCCACATAAAATCACACTGCTGTATGAACTTGAGAATTACATTTAACATACTTTGTTAAAACATACATCTGATGCCTCCTGCGTATGTTGTTAATAAAGCACTACCTCACACTGTAGTTTTTCGGTGACACCCCCCCCAAAAAAAAAGAACCCTAAAAATTCATGGTATGATAATTGCATATCCCAATATCATGCTTTTCGATATATCACAGTTTAAATATATCTGAATTAATGTGAACTGGGAGCATTAAATGTGAGTATAATTCATTATTTCTGTGTTGAGGTGTGTCACGGATATTAACATGTTGGGACCTCATTTGAACCACAATGTCACTACCTGTGCACTGGCACAAGGCGGGGAAGCAGGCACAGGAGTCGAGTGAACAAGGGGTTTATTATGGGTAAGTTACGATCAGGTAAAACATTAATGACCGGACTGGGGAATCACAGAAACTCACTTAAATACACAAACTTATTTAACACAACTAGAAACAGCTGATAACACAGGGATTCCACACGGGGTAGATGAGGGGGCGTGGCACACAAGAGGATCGGCACAATCGGGGCATGACACACAATATATAGCAGTACTAATTATATAACTATATTAGATTTTGTAATCACGGTATACCACCGTATCATGGCGTTCCCATCTTATTCCAATAGCAGAGGCAGAGTATGAAAAAGTGGAATCCATTAAGCAAAATCAAAACATTTTTAGGAATAAGAATGCAGCATTATTATGCAAGAGAAGCCAAGCTTTACAGATATACTGTAATGAACATTTAGAAGTCTGGTAATCAAATAATGTCTGAAGTACATGGATAATGCTCACTGAATGTCATTATAAGACAGAAAAATGGAGCTATTAGCAAACAGCAGTGCAGTGCTGTAGTTATTGTGAATTATTTTGCTAGCCTGTGAGAGGTATTCCGGTTTATTTTAACAGGCAACTTGTGGTTTGTCATATAAGGCTTTGTTGACTGCATTAGAGACAAATCAGGCTAGCTACTTTAGCTCCTAAATACAAAATTAATTTCTATGAGCTTGACGTAGGTGTTTTTATAGCTACTGAGTTTGTGTTAAAGGGAGAACTGGCTGGTGAACATTGCTGCTGGTTACATTTTTTTTGAGCATATATGCAAAAAAGTTTATTGTTTCAGTTTGTGCATGTTCTGCACCCTACTGTAAACCAAAGCAGGAAATTCAGGCATTATGGTAGCTAATTTGAGTAAGCGTAGGTGTGTCTCCTTGCATGTGCATGCATGCACGCACACACCCCTGACGAACCCTAGAATCAACTTGGAACTACACAGAGGTTCTGCACAATGGCTGCAAACAAGCCGATATTCGTGTTTGCACTTGATTAGAACCCTCAGTGCCAGGATGTAGCCAATGGTAGACTTCTTAAGCATGAAATCAGACCAGCCCCAGTCACTGCTGGTGAGCAAGTTATCATGGATTCCATTGTGGAAGACCCTAGAAAGGACCTTACCCTGCACTGAGAGCAGACAATCACCCTTCCCTTTCCACATAGGGACAGCGAGTCCTGTTTTCCAGTCAGATTGGATGACGCCTGTCTCCCAAATGGAAGCAAAGATTTCCTGCAGTGCCAGGAGGACAGCGATGCCACCAGCTTGGAAAACTTCACCCTGGATACCACAGATCCCTACCCTTAGCTGGTTCACCACCTGTGAGATTGGGTACTTCACAACTAATTGGAGGATTGGCCTCAAGAACTGTAGACCCAAAGATGTCCAACATCCTAGCCGGACGATCAGCATTAAACAGCTGCTCAAAGTACCCAGCCCAGTGGGTCACAACTGCAGTGTCATCCGTTAGGACGGTTTCATCACTCTCCCTGACTGTGAGACTCTGAGGAACAGATTTGGATGTGCGTCATGCTTCGATTCCTCTCTAAGCAGGGCGTGGGTCACTAGACCAGAGATGGTGTGTCACTTGCTCACAGATCCCTCTAACAAACACCTCCTCATCTGCCCTCACGCCATCTTTCTCAGTATCTGGAAAGACTGGAGTTGCCATCAAGTCATGCGCTTGTTCAAGACTTTTTTCAAGTTCCTGTTCCTTTTTTGTATGATGAAAATGATATGATCTTTCCCTCTCAATAATATCCAGGGGGCCCTGTGAGATAAAACATCTCCTTTTGGGAACATTGGCAACACCAACACAATCCTCGGCAACCTTAAGGTTCTTGTTATGGAAGGTCTCCCACATCACATTAGAATCAGCAGTTGCCTCCAAATCTGCAAGTTCCTCACACAAACCAGGATCCAACGATCCACAGCACCTGACCTTTTGCAAATCCAAGGAACATGGACCCACTTTCACCATGGTTGCCAGACCCATGAGGACCGACACAATCCTCATACCCAGCCCTGTCAGTGTCAGTGGCTGCATTAAAGTCACCCATGATCAGAGAAGTGTCACCTAAGATACAAAAGTATAATAAAAAAAACTCCAAAACTGGACTGTTGTCAGGCAGGAATGCCAGAGACGTGTCGAGCTTGGGCTGGTCTCCATGCTGTCTTCTGATGCTCACACAACTTGCCATCTGAAAGTGTGTGAAGTTAATGCTCATCCCATTATCCCATCCTGTTGATTCTGTTCTGGTCCTTGCTCCCACAGCTGCCCCAATAGCTTTCTCTACTAAAATAAAGGTGATTAATGCCCACTCTGTTGTTAAGTATTTTATTCTTAATGACTTATTCTGTCATGAGTCTGGATTTTATGTTTATCTCAGATGTGGCAGCGTGAGAATAAAGTTTCGCATTTTTTGGAATTATGTCTCAGAGACTGTTCATTTCTGTGAGCACCACGTACTTCTGGTCGAGGAGGCGGAACTGCTGTTATATTTAGAAAGATATTTTTATGTTAATTGATTTCTTCATGCTCTTATAGCTCCTTCGAGATGATTATGATTAAAATTGGGCAAGTTCACCTCTGTATTCTGCTACATTGCTCTCCTGGTTCTGCAGCATTTTTTTTTCTCAGATTTTCAGGGCTATTTGTCTTCTACCATTAAATTAGGTAGGATTATCATAGTCGGGGACTTTAACATTCATGTAGACGATTCATCAAATAATACTGCCAAGGAGTTAATGAGCGTTCTGGGCCAACTCATATTGCAGGACACACTGTGAACTTTACGTATGGTGCTATGCTTGACACGGTAATTTGCACATTAATTAAGTTACTTTCAGTAATAATAAATCAGTCTCTTTTAATGCATCTTTTAATTCAGAGTCCTTCCCTCAACTTGCATTAAGTGCAGCCGCTTTATTGATGACTCTGTGATTTCTGACTTTTCTTCACTTTTTAATTTTTCTGCCAGTTGTTTTGATGATCATATTGAGCTCCTTGTTAATTCTTTTAATGAACAATGCCATTCCATTCTTGATAAGGTTGCCCATTACAAAATTAGTTGTGGCTCTGTTGTCTCTCACTTACCATGGCTAATTAATCAAACCTTGGCCTTCGACGCTCCTGTCAAAAAGCAGAACATTTGTGGAAGATCATGGGTATTACTGTCCATCGCAAACATATTAAAGAATTACTCTAGTTTTACAATGACTCAGTGAAAGAGGTTAGGTCTTATTATTTTGCCCTTATAGCTCGCAATAGGAATAATCTTGGGGTATTATTTAATACTATTAACGTCATTGTTTTACCCCAACCTCAGCATGCTCTGGTACTCTCAGATAATGAATTCTTAACCATTTTGTGAATAAGGTGAAGGTCCAAAATCTTTCCCCCTATTATGAAGATCCTCCTCAGTGCCAGGAGTTATTTACTTTATTTTCTCTGATTTCACTTAATTATCTATTTACAATAATAGGAAAAATGAAACCTCATTAACTTCCTTAAAGATTTTAAGACCTTATGTCTTATTTGAGGCATACCAGCATTGGTCCTTTGTTGCTATCATCATCTATTAATAAACAATCATAATCTATTGTGACTACATGTCTGTGAAAGGCAATTTGTAAACATTACTTACTTTCTTACTAAACTAAATGAAAACTATAAATATTGCTTTCAATATGACTTGAAATAAAATAAAAAACAAATGTCAAATACTTTCCATTACCGCCTTTAAATACTAATAAGTTGAAGTAATGGTTTATTCATTTTTCTTTCAAGATGGAAAACGCTCAAGGAAATTCAATTTCCTTGTATTGCATTAAAATGACCATTAATAACACATCATGAAATCATGTTTTGCCCATTCTCTAATGTGCATTGTGCATTGTGTATTCATGTTTGATTCTCTACAGAAAAGACACATAAAATAGTTCTAAAACTTTCAGTCTATCCCTAGAAATAAAACTAAACAGAAAATTATTTTTCAAATAAAAACTAACGGAATAAATAACTGAAAGTACACTGGATTTCGAATGAATATTGAAAACAATATAAAAAAAAAACTAAAAAAAATAGCTATCAAAATGCTTATTCTTTCCAAAATGGAGCTGGAAGCATGAATGATGATAAAGGATATGGGTTTGGCTATGGGGGTGGAGGAAGAACCAGAGAACCCACAGGAAATCCCATGACAACATGGGAAGAACATGAAAATTGATTCTTTAGAGACTGCAACCAAAAGAAGAACTTTGTCAAGACTTCGGGCCATCATGGAGAATACCGACCACCCAATACAGCGTGGTGACTGAGCTGAAGAGCACCTTACCAGCGTTAAGTGCTCCACTGAGCGCCACAGAAGATCCTTCCTCCCCACCGCAACCAGACTCTACAACTCTTCCTTCTGTCACTCATCCTCACAATAATGCGCTTAATAACTTCTACTGAATTATTAACATGTGCAATAGAATCATTCACAACAATGTGCAATATAGTCAAGTTACATTTATAATAACTTTTTACAGAGTCACTTATGTACGAGGTAACATAGTACTTTATCCTACTCTATTTATAGAATTTTTATTAGAGTGTTTTACTTACGTAGAGTCAGGCCAGAGACTGAGGCACCATACCACCCTGATGTACTACCTAAATACTTAATTTTTAAGGGATGGAAACACTGAATGCAGATTTTTTTTACTATTCTGCAGACTGCTTTGAAAAACATGTTTAGTGATTGTGTACCCAAGACCTGAAAAATGTTACAAATAGACAACCTGCATCTCTTTTTAAAAGAGTTATTCCTATCATATAGGGTGACGTTTTCCATTTCTGGTTTTATATTCAACCCAGTCCTCAGGGAACCCCAAAAACATTTCTGCTCCCTCCCAGCTCCCTACCGGGAACAAAAATGTGGACTGTCTGGCAGAAAACTGGGAGGCAGCAAAAATGTGAACTGTCTGGCAGAAAACTGGGAGGCAGCAAAAATGTGAACTGTCTAGCAGAAAATTGGGAGGCAGCAAAAATGTGAACTGTCTAGGGGGTCCCCGAGGACTGGGTTGGGAAATCGTGCTCTAAATGAAGTTCTGAATTGTGTCTCCCTCCCAGTAATCTGTACCTGAGTGTAAGTGGCTATCAGAAGCACAGGAAATGTCACCAGGCATCAGCAGGAAGCAAGCGGCCTCCTTCTTGGAGTTCTTCCGAGCACAGAAGCGAGAGTGGCAGAGTGACCATTTCTCACTTGGGGAGGTGGGCTGGACAGGACCACAGCAGTCCTCTCGTGATATCGCCACATTGGCATCACCATTCTGCTTAGAGTCTGGCACAGAGAGGCAGAGAGAGGACGTTATTGCTATCCAGAATCAGTTGAGGCCATTCACCAGTAAATAATTACCCGATTATGTAAAGGAGCCTCTACAAGCATAAATATCAAAAGTAAAATATCACATTATAAGTAAGTCTGACAACTTCTGAGCTACTGCAATCATAATAGTCATTGTTATTCTACTACTTATTCTCAATTATATATAGTAGCATAGCCCTTACTATTTCTGACTTGTGTCGATTAAAATTTCAAACTTTACCAACAATATTACAAAGCAACACATAAACTTTCTTGGAGTTATTTTAATGAGTTACGAAATACAAATGAAATACAAATACAAAATTAAACTGAAGTCAATAAATACTTAGTTTCAGATGAAGACTGCCAGGTACCCAGAAAACAATACAGACTACGACATGAATCGGGCTGGGTAATCAGTACAGGCTAGGCTACAAGCTAAGCTTCAGAATGTGATGTGATGTAAGTACATGTTAGCATTTAAGCTGTGCTGTAGACCTCCCCATCCTACCTGGGTGACTCCTTTCTGTGGACCCCTCAGCTGCAAGAGGGCAAGTGTCACTCTGAGTGCTTCCTTGTGGAGAGCCAGTTATTGACTTTCCAAAAGGAGAATCTATCGTCGCTTCCGGGTTTGGGTTACGCCTCTTCTTCTTCTTGGGCAGTTTCTGTTTAGCCATAGCCAGAGAGTAATACATGCCAAAGTTGTTGACAATTACAGGGACGGGCATGGCGATGGTCAGCACCCCTGTTAGCGCACACATGGCTCCCACTATCATTCCCAGCCAGGTGTTGGGGTACATATCCCCATAGCCCAGTGTGGTCATTGTCACAACTGCCCACCAGAAGCTGATGGGAATGTTCTTAAAGTTGGTGTGGGCACTAGCAGTGGGGTCCTCAGGTTGGGCACAGATCCGCTGGGCGTAGTAGATCATAGTGGCAAAGATGAGTACTCCTAGTGCCAGGAAGACAATCAGCAGCAGAAACTCATTGACACTAGCCCGCAGCGTGTGGCCCAGAATCCGTAGCCCTATGAAGTGACGAGTCAACTTGAATATCCTCAGGATTCGCACAAAGCGGACCACCCTCAGGAAGCCCAGTATGTCTGTGGCAGCTTTGGAGGACAGACCACTTAGCCCCACTTCCAGGTAGAAGGGCAGAATGGCCACAAAATCTATGATGTTGAGGACATTTTTAATGAAGAGCAATTTGTCTGGGCAGAAAACAATGCGCACCAAAAATTCAAAAGTGAACCACACCACACAGACACCCTCGATCGTGGTCAGCTCCGGTGAGGTCACCATCTCTAGGGTTGATTCCAACCGAGTCACGTTCCCCACAGTCACAGGCTTTGTACGGTTCTGCAGGGAGTTGAATGCCTCGTGTGTTTCCAGGCAGAATGCAGTAATGGAGACCAAGATAAAAAAAAGAGATACAAGTGCAACGACCTGCAGAAGACAAGACAATCTGTGGTACAGGGGGAAGGAACACATTTACCAAGCTGTAAGAGGCCAACCTGAAAAAGAAATACTAAGTGTGTGTGTGTGTGACAGAAATTTCCATCTATCCATGACTGCTGATCTAGTTGTGGTGAATCTGGAGTCTGTCTAATGAAGCACAGGATGTGAAGCACAGAAAATTTACAAATGACAGGAGGCCATTTGGCCCATCAAGCTCGCTTGGGGAGAACTTAACTGATAGCTCAGAGTTGTTAAAATCTTATCTAGCTCTGATGTAAAGGAACCCAGGGTTTTAGCTTCCACAACACTAGCAGGAAAACTATTCCATACTCTAACTACACTCTGTGTAAAGAAGTGTTTTCTCAAATTCAGTTTAAAATGTTCTCCAGCTAATTTCCACTTATGGACACAAGTTCTAGTATTTAAACTAATATTAACAGCATCCAGACCTGTTAGAATGTTATATACCTGGATCATGTCCCCCCTTAATCACCTTTGTGCAAGGCTAAACAGATTCAGCTCAGCTAACCTCTCCTCATAAGACATTCCCCTAAGACCAGGAATCATTCTCGTAGCCCTACGTTGAACCTCTTTCCAAGGCAGCAATGTCCTTCTGAATGTATGGTGACAAAACCTGCACACAATATTCTACGTGTGGTCTTACCAAGGAATTATATAATCGTAGCATCAACTCCCTTGACTTAAACTCCACACACCTAGAGATGTAACCCAACATCCTATTGGCCTTTTTTATTGCTTCCCCACACTGGCGAGAGTGGGACATGGAAGCATCAACATACATGCCAAGGTCTTTCTCATAATCAGCTACCTTTGTTTCAGTTACATCATTTTCGGTTTGAAACACACAATGAAATAAATGAATTCATTGCTTTGACGTGGTTACGGCAAGTAAAGCATTTAATTCATTATGAGTGTTATGGTGCATTCTTATTTTTCAATTTTTATTTATTTTATAATTTATTTTTACTATGAAAATGAGCATCTCGTTTTGTCATTCATACAAATGTTTGGTTTACAACTATCCTATATTTGTTTATTAAAAATGCAAGCACATTTATCTATATTCTTTAGCTTTTTGTCCTATTCAGGATCGCAGGGATCCAAAGCCTATTCCAGAACCCATCGCAGGGCACAATCATACACTATTCACTAACACATGCACACCTACCGGCAATTTGGCAAATTGATAAACAATTTCAAAACAAATTCTTTCCTTCTTCCCTGCAGTGCCAAAATAGCACCAAACTATAAACTGTACTCAATTCAAGGTATCCGTTTCATTTATAGAATCCAAAGTTTGCCCAATTTTTTTGCCCAATATTTTATCAAATACACATGTGATTTCATGTATTTTATCAAATATTATTTCACACATGTGATCCTATATATTTTATCAAATATTATTTTACACATACGATTAGATATTTCTTGTGTGGTTTTATCTATTTATGTATTGATTTACTTATTTTTGTGGGTGTATGTATGGGGTTGTTTGCTGGTTATGTGGATGCTGACTCTTCTCCGGGAAACTAAATTTACCTACGGCTACGAATAAAGTAACCTGAACCTGAATTGAGATGGTGCTGGAAAAGTCTCTGCACACTCTTGCTGACCCATGATGCACTGTGCACTTCTGCATGCCTTCACAACATTAGGTGGTGTGCAGCTGGGCAAATGTATTTGACGTAACAAATGTGATTTAAAAATCGCCACCTTGAAGAACCATGACTTGTACCTGAATTGACCTTCCACTCTACCACTATTCTGCAGACCTTAGGAAGCTCTTTTGGTCTTAGCATGATGTTACCATGTACTTCAATGGCTATGAGTAAATAAGACTAAATTGTTTATATAAGGTGTGACTCACAAAGAAACAGGATAATAATGACCTAATCATTTGAAATTAGAATATTATTTATTTGAATTGTATAAATGCTTAAGTATAAAATTGAAGTATAACTTTAGTTTTATCACATTCCATAACAGTAATCATTTTCACATGTATTTGGGCTGTATATGTAAAAATGTTGCATGTTATAGGTTGTGTTTTTCATCTCTTTTTGGAAAAAATTGCTTTTGACACTGCAATTTCGCCTTTATTCTTCAGTTTTCTTCATAAGCTCCTAAGATAGCAAAAAAGAAAAATCAGCCAAAGATGTTTGCTAAGAAAGAGCTTTCTGTTTTACTACTATGCTGAAAATTGCAAATCCAGCCATTATCATCTATTACTGCGAAGGAGAACTATTGTCTTGTGGGATAATGGCATATTACAGAACATTGGATTTGCCTTCTAATGGGCTGATACCACTCCAGAAAAATTCAATCTGTTATAGAACCACTAGGACAGGGGTGGGTAATCTTATTTGCAAAGAGCCGCTGTGTATGTGGGTTTTCTCTGCAACACCATAATTAGGTTACTAATTAGAGGACTGATTGGCTGAAGAGTCCTCACCCCCAGGTTTGAATAGCTGGCCTAAAGGTTATCCTAAAAACCTGCATACACACTGGCCCTTTGCAGGTCGAAGCCCAGCACCACAATCTATAGTTGAAACCAAACAATATGTTTATAGTTGCTTAAGCTGAAGATAGAGGGAGCTTATTCAGATTTTCTATACCAGAGGTGTCAAACTGCAGTCCTGGAGGGCCGGAGCCCTGTGTAGCTTAGTTCTTTCCATGTTCAAATGATTCAGTTCAAGAGCTATGTGGAGTTGAATCAGGTATGTTAAATAAGGGGAAACCCAAAAATGTGCAATGCATACAAATGTGCCCTGCTCGTCTGATCCTCCCGTGTGCCACACCCCCTCACTACCTCGTGTGGAATCCCCGTGATTACCAGCTGACTCTTCTTGTTGTTGATTAGTTTAATGTATTTAAGTCTGTTTTCCCCAGTCCAGTCAGTAACGTTGTAAACGTCTTACGTCTGGTGTTCCTGATTGTGATTTCCTGCAATAAATCCCTTGTTCCCTGATTTCTCCGTCTCCCTGCTCCTGCTTCCCTGGTCCAAGACACAACACTTTTCATCACCATTCAAGAACTTAAGAAATTTACACACGAGAGGAGGCCATTCGGCCCATCAAGCTCATTTGTGGAGAACTCAACTAATAGCTCAGAGTTGTTAAAATCTTATCTAGCTCTGATTTAAAGGAACCCAGGGTTTTAGCTTGCACGACACTAGCAGGAAGACTATTCCATACTCTACACGCTGTGTAAAGAAGTGATTTCTCAAATCCATTTAAAAATGTTCTCCCGCTAATTTCTACCTATGGCCATGAGTTCTAGTATTTAACCCTCTGGGGTCTAGGGGTACGGAACACACTTTAACTGACTTTCACACATTTCATTCAATATCATAAACTTAATTCATTGCAAATCAATTATTTCTTATAAAAATAATCAATACTTTATTGATCCCCTTGGGGAAATTGTCTTTATGCCTCTGAAAACTTGCTCTGGGTTTGAACCGGCGACCTTCTAATTACAAACACACAGGTTTAGCCCACTGAGCCACACACTGCGAACAGTAGCTCGCCCACGAGACTAAAGAATTAGTGTCTGGCAAGGATGCTCGCACTGCCGACAGTTGGGGCGAAAACTGTCATTCACTCCAGCTGGGCAACACTCACGCTGTCAGTCGTGGCCACATATCTGCGGTCTCTGAACGGTCGTAAAGTTTGTCAGTCATAAGTCGCATAGGTCGTAAGTCGACGATGACCTGTAGTATTTTTTTAATGATATAGCATTTTGCCATGATACCTCGCTATTTGTAAAAAACAATGGCTGGATACTGGAAAAGCTACAGCTTTCTAAAAGTAGCTGTGCTACTAAATATTAACCTACTGAAAAAAGTAAAGTTAGTAGCGTCGCTAATTGTAGTTAGCTATTCCCTAACACTGCTAGAATGTAATGTGGCCATTCAGATGAGCATAAAACACAAATTGGGGTTTGCCAGATTACTGCTGAACTAAAGGAGTTCTATAATAAATAATTATAATAAAGATTCAGTGAGCTGCATCCTGTTTGTGTACCATTTCTGCATCACAAAAAAGTGACATTTATGGTCTTGTACCAACCTTGAATTATATTAGATTACAGTGGATTGATACAGGATGCTTTTGTCCTGGGTAAATAGCACTGGAGATTTGATTACAGCTTTGTGCATGTTAAATTTGATTGTTCATTATGGTTTGCTTCATGTTGTTAAGTAACTTTGCTTAATTGAAGTGTCAATAGTGTATGCCCCGTGATGGAAATGGACTGGTGTCCGCAGCTTTGTTCACTGCATGTACTTCCTGGCATAGTGTTCAGATATAGTTGTACTGAAGCTGTAAAAAATAAATATTAATTTTATCACTTGGAATTTGGAATAGTGGCTTCAGTGAGACTATAATCCCGTTAAACAGTACTGTAATATGAATTTGACTGATTTCCTCTACGATTTAATTTAAGAACACAGTTCACCATAATCAACTGTTTAGTGGAGTCATTTTCAAATGAGGAACTGCGAATGAAACAAAACAAACCTCGTACTTAGGATATAGTATGAAGGATATTTAGGATTTAATGGCGTATTTATTTATAACACACTTTTTGGTGTGTGTGAGAAGCGTGAATGGGCGAGAGGGGTGGAGGGAGGGGTGGTGGTCAAACCTATTAATCTATACAAATCTTGTACTAAAATTAGTATGCGAATAATTGAGAGTATTGTTTCGATTTCGTGCGCTTATGTTTAATTCGTTTTATCAAGGAATATCAAAAAAAAAACTAATTTTAATTATTATTACGGTTGCTAAACTAAAATATTGCGGTGCTATATCCGTTCCTGTTATCATTTCAGATAAGCTGGGGACCGGAAATATACGAGACCGCCGAAAGACATGGATGTAGCGGGCAGGGATTCTAGTTCTAGAATAGCTGTACAACACCCAGCCTTATTTATATCCCATATGAGAAAAGTACCAGTATAACGTATATTATACCCACCCTGCCCGCCCCCCCCCCAAAACAGAACTGCTTCCCAACAGAAAAGGCAGATGTAGAAAAGCACCTGTTGATCTCCGCACGTCCGGAACCCCGAAAGGCAAAAATGACTTACCCTAGCTGCTCTTGATGAGTACGGGTCCTCAAAAAGCGCCCATATCTTTGGTTGCCATAAACGAAATCGACTCCGAGGTCTATCTGGACAATCCTCAATGCCAAAGCGGTGAGACAGCTCGTCTTCATCATCATCCTGCTCCGGGGGCTCGAAGCTGTTAAGTGCTTCTTCTGCATCCCTGTGCTGCCGGTATGACATCCAGCAGCAAGGCTCCACGTCCGTCTCGTCTATTCCCCAAAAGGCCAGCTCTTCTTCGAACAAGGGACCACATAGGTTAGCAGGACAATGGAGCTTGCCTGTTCTGTAATAGTTCAATACATAGGTGAATATAACAGGGTGGCGATCGAAGAAAAACTCATGTGTTCTGCCCTGACTTGGGTCCACATCGGAGTTTCTCCGGGAACTGGACTCGGCCAGCCAGGCTAAGCGTGTGCCGGGCAGGTTCTTCAGTGTGCTTTTGTATGTTTCGTGCCGAATGCCTCCCACGTTTATGACTATTTTGCCGCAGTCTTCTTCCCCTCTGGCTATGTCTCCCTTCAGACATGTTTTAGACGACGGTTTGTTGCTAGACTTACGTCCACGGTAAGACGAAACGCACACCGAGCTGATCATAGAGATATCCTTTTGTACTTTATTTCTTAAAATCAATTAAATCTAATATAGTTTAGATTGATGAGCAAATTCGGTTTACGCATCATCAAGTGTTTTTGTTAAAGAAAAGTAAAATATTGTCTAAACAAAATTGCATATAAAAGCAACACGACTTGTTTGGTATGTAATAAAAAATATACTAAAGATTAGGCCTACGTATTCGTATATACCAAATGCTTTTTCGGAATTGTATTAAACGTTTACGGCAATACTTGTTTATAATAAGAAGTTGCTAATGCAACGAACACTACGTTTTAAATAAAGAAATATTTAAACTTGCCTATTTACCAGACGAAGAAAATTACATTTTTTGCTATAAATAATTATAATAATTAAAAAAAGAAACATAACGAAGTAAACGATATCTGAAAAATTCCTCCTCAGGGGAAAAATTAACTGTAACGATCCAAGCAGTACTCTGTGCGTAAAGTACTTCAAAGTGTTCCTTCTGTCTCCTGGTAGTAGGTACATACAGCGTAAATACAGCGCTGCTTCTTCTGAACTATGCCCCCTCCCAATAATCAGGCGACACAATCCACAGGGATATTACCAGCACCATTATTAACTCGTTTTTTCCTGTTCGTTTTTAAGTGTAGTCTTTATCGATAATAATAATAATAATAATAATAATAATAATAAGAATACAAATAAATCAAACTTTCCGTTTAGTCGCTTAACGTAAATACGTGATTGAAAATATGTAAGTAATATTTATGCAAAGGTTATAATTTCCGTTTAAAAGTATTAAATTGGACAGTTAAGATGCATATACTTAGGATAATGTATTATTCTTTTTTTAATTTAAGAGATGTGTATTTTAAATGCCAGTTTCAAATATTTTAATGCTTAAACGCAAACAAACTCGGTTTACAAAATCATACGTTTTATCTTGAGTCCTGAAAAAATATTGGGAGTATTGCGTCAATCAATAAAATTAGGCAATAACTGCAATTAAAAAAATAATGACAATAAAAAATGAACGAATGAATTGCAAATATCAAAGAGAAACAGGACATAATTCGTCAATGTGAGGTTTCTTGCCCCTAGAGGACGGCTTAGGAAGCACAGAAAAGATATGGCTGCCTGACGGCATGATTCTCAAATAATTTTTAAATTATAGCCATTTTTACACAACGTTCGCAATATTTACAAAATTTAGGCAAAATTCCAAACAATGGGAAATACGACATATATTTTTCAGGGTTCTGTCGTCCCTAGGCTGCGAGAATTATGGCTCAAAACTACCGTACAATTTGTTTGTTTTTGACTTTTAGTGTCACCTTTTGGCCGTTGTGTGTAAATACTGCCCAACACGAAAATACGGTATATTGTATTTTTTTCAAGTATGGGTCCCAATTCAGATCTCTCAGCGGGGTTTCATCCAGATATTTTTCTTCAACAAAGGAGGCAATGGGGAAGTTGGGTGCCCAGGGGGTGTCCAGGCATGCCATGGTGGGTGCTGAGGCACCTTCAGGAGGTGACGGTGGTGTGCCCACTGGTGGCAGGCCAAGCATGGCAGGCACCTCTGATGGCAGGCCAGGGCCAGGCAGGGGAGTCTCTGTTGGCATCAGGAGCTGGTGGAGAGTTGTGAGGGATCTGCAGGAGCATATGCAGGGAGGCTTGAGGTGGAAGACTCAGGGTCGGCCCCTACTGGGGTCGGAGAGCCACTGGGGGAGTAAACCCTCACCATTTCCTCCAGGGTGAGCAAGTAGTCACTCACCAGCTCCAACTCCCAGGCCATTGGAGAGAGCCCGTCCAGCAACTCCCACACCTAAGCTAACCCATCCACCAGTTCTGGAGACTGCTGAACCGTTGGATCCTTTATATATATATATATAAAAACTTGCCTTGAGTGTGGTACTGGGGAAGTCCTCTTCGGAGGGTGAGCTGAGTAGCCAGCATAGAGGCCTGCTCTTCCTGTATAGCGTTTTATGCATTTTTAGCTGAACAAAACCGTAAAACAGGTAAGGGGCAGGGGCGAGTTGAGAGGAGAAGACCTGAGTGGTGAAGTGGCCGGGCTTATTTTAGCTTCTGACATTCCTGCATGATTAATACAACGTAAGTGGAAGTCAGCTTTTTTTAGGCTCAGGCTATTGCACTAGACTTCATCAATCAAGGAGGAAAAGAGGAGACACTTCCACACTACTGCAGACCTTTTTTTCCCAGAAGCAGATATTTTTCAGTGCTGTCCGACAACTAATCTTTCTGTAAATGCATTAGTGCCCATGTTCATAAACATAAAAATTTTGTTACACCTACATCAGTTAGCTCCAATTGGTTCATACGTAGCTTGTGACCCCTTTCTGATTAGCTCTTAGTTTCCTTGTCTCTTTTCCTCACTGGTTATTCTTCACAGGAATGAAGAATGTATTTCCTTTGTTTTCACGGAAGTAAGCCACATGTGAACATGGACAATGTACAAGACTTTCACTACCTGGCATATGTTGTTTTGCTTACTTTTATGCAGCTGAATCATATTTTGTCTCCATTATATGTTGTTTACAACACTTTGAAGCACAGAAGGAGACTGTACCTGAGCCAAGATTAAGATGTGATGGTTCCTTTTATGCACAGCTTTGTGCTTGCGACACCACAGTGCTGTGATATTTCACTTTTGCTAAATAAAATACGTGTATTTAAACACATGGTTCTGCGTGAGATTAATCAACAGTAAAGTGTTTATAAAAACTGACAGTGACAGAAAAAGTGACAGAAAATTAAGAACTGCTGTTTAATGTGTATAAAGTGCATTAAGAAAATACAGCACAAGACCTTGTGTCTGGCGTGTTTAAGTAACTGGCACATTTCTAAAATCTGTATAAAAATTAAAAATTCATTATTGTAGGTAGTAACACTATTCTATTAAAATGTACACTAAGCAATCTGAAAATTAAAAAATGAAGATAACTATTGGAGCAGCATGCTTTGACACTTAAAATAGACTTTGGATACATTGCAGCTCCATTGGTCATCATTGAGATATTTCTGGAACCTGATTTATGTTCCCCTTTGGTAAATTCAATTGACTATAATTATAAAAATAATAATGACATCTTTTTGGGGAAATTCTCTTTTCGCCTGCAGCGGCACCCATGGAGCTGGGGGGCTAAGGGGCCTTGCTTTGATGATCTGACACATTTGCACATATAAGGCACCACACCACTGACTGCTTGTCTGGGGTAGAACCAAGCCATGAGAGCAAAGGAACTAGCCACAGCTCACTGAGGCAGGATTGCAGAGCTGGGGAAGGACACCAACAGCTGTCTGCAGCTTTGAAGGTTCTGAAAAACACAGTGGTTTCTACTATTCTCAGATGTAAGAAGTTTTGAAATACCAAGTGTTCCTCGAGGGCTTTAGTCGAGGACATGCCTAAAAACTAGAAGATTACTCTGAGAGAGATCTCTGTAGAGATGGGTGAACCTTCCAGAAAGATAAGCATCTCTGCAGCACCCTAGCAATCAGGCCTTATTGGTAGAGTGGTGCTGTGGGCCTGATTTTCAGCAGTAGAGACTGGACGGCTTTTCAGGATTCAGGGCCAAAGTAAAACCTCACCAAGAGGTCTCTGGACCTCAGATTTGGGTGAATATTCAACTTCCAACAGGACAATGACCTAAAGAACACAGCCAAGGCAACATAGGACTGGCTTCAGAACAAGGGATTGAGTGTCCTGGAGAGAAGAGGCCAAAGCCTAAACCCAACCGAACTCTGAAAACAGTGGAATATCAACACTCCATCAAGAAACTGTGCTGGTGTAATTGTTGTTAAGGTTGCTTCAATTAAATAATAATTATGCACATTTTATATCAGTATTTTTTATACATTTACAAAAAAATAATACAACTTATGATTGTGTGCAGATTTATGATTAAAATGAGTTTAATCCAGCCCCTAACTGCCCTCAGCCCCGAGTCTGCGATTAGCGCATGGCACAGGATTACCGCAAGGCACAGGATTACCGCAAGGCACACGATTACCGCAAGGCACACGATTACCGCAAGGCACACGATTACCGCATGGCACACGATTACCGCATTCCCTCCCAAGGATGCTCTGTCCACAGGATGGCTCCATGTGCACATTTCAGACAGAGCCCAGCTGGGTTACATGGGTGACCCAGCATCAGGAGCAGACTGGTGACTAAAGCCAGACTGGCAATTTGCTGCTAAGCCGCCCCTTTTCCATATTCAGCTGCTGAACAAGGGTTGGGGGTCCCCCTTGGCACCTTTTGTGGCCGATTGGGGGGGGGTTAACCAGGGGAGAGGTCCTTGTGTTAGTTTGCTGCTGACTGGAGGGAGGGGGGCATCCCCGGGTAGATTTTGCTGTTTACTGGCTTTCATTCTCCGAACTTCCCGGTGCCAGTCTATGCCGACCCAGCCCTTTGCCCTCCCTCCCCAAAACGCTCCAGATGACAGAGCTATGTGGAGCAAAAGGACACAGATGCCCCCCACCCCTTGCCAGTCACAATCCTCAGCCCACAGAGGACGAACACTTCTGCAATGCAAGATAATGCCACAAAATTGATTTATTTGAACCTTTAGAAGAATTTTAGATTAGATATAATACCAGCAAAGACTGATCACTCAGCATTACTTGTCTCTTGAAAAATACAAATATGCAATAATCTTTAGCTTCCCAACATAATTTGTAAAAAAGGAGAGAAAAAAAATGTTCAAGAAATGTGTACAAAACCATAAGCAAATTCATAAAAAACACCAGAACCATTAATTACACCGAAGTTTCATGTTATATCGTGTTAAATGCTCTATCCGGCTCTATCCGGTAGTATCACTACTAATTTGTAAATCAGTATTAATCTTAATGCGGGGGGGGGGGGGGCTTTTATGTAGAATACCAATCTCAGCGCAAGTTGTTGCTTTGTATGACAAGAAAATATTTTAAAAACAGGAATGTTTTTCTTTTAAATCTGAATCCTCACGCTTGCTCACAAAAGCGATTACTGCATCTGTGTTGTACAGATAAACAGAAGCTGTGAGGGAGGTAATGATTGGCTGAGGCAGCACTGTGCTCAGACGTCAAAAGGGACTCCACTGTGCTCAGACGTCAAAAGGGACTCCCCGTTTCCTTTAAGGCTTCCTGAGCACCTTTCAACGTCTCCTGTTTCACACACCGCCAGTAACCAGGAATCCCATGCTGAGCTTTTACCTATTGGAAAGGGTGCAATCGTAAGCGACTTCTGTAAACCACACAAGCCTGCCATCTACCTTTCTATGGACTCCAGATCCTTTAAAAATATTCTTACTTATAAACTTTAGTGGGTAACAATATGGCACAAGTCGTACCACTACAGCTTCACCCAGTACCTACAAACTTAAGAGGATCTCATCCTCTACAATTTCTGTATCCTCTCATTTCAAAATAAATATTTCAATTAAAAACAAATACCGCTACAAAACTGCCCAGCTTTGAAGTTGTTTGAATCGACATACTTACCATAGCCTTAACTTTAACTTGACTGCATTTGATTAATGTGCTAACTGAAAGAATAAAATACCCTGTTCTTGATTTCAGTGACTAGGACCATCATACTGGGAAATGGATCCTTCACATTGCCTTTTTAGTTTCAGTTCTTAAGGTGTTAACTCATAAACAGAACTGGTAGAGGGCTTATTCTAATATCACGTTCCTAACTTTTCTTCCAATGTGGGATGGGGGTGTATGCTGTATACAAATTCAGAAGAGCATTTTACCTTTAAGCCACGAAGAATTCTGTCATTCATTACTCCCAGAAACTCTTTACGACTGAGGCAATTATCACCATCTAGATCAAAAATCTTGAAAACGGTGTCCACCACACTTTCTGAAAGATCGTGTCCAGTTGCAATTTTGACAGCTCTTTTGAACTGGGCTACAGAGAAAGAGATCATATTTTTTGGGAAAAAAAAACATACAAAATTTCACTTGTCTAATTTTTAAACCTTTAGTGACTGCATGGTTAAAGCACAGAATATAAAATGTTACCTATTCCAATAGGACGGTTAGCTTCACTGATCATTTTCACAGAAAAGGCAAAATCTTCCAGGTTGTTTGTGAACAGGCAGAAGGACTTAAATTCATCAAAGGTGATACTCTGCAAATAAAGAGAAATGTTTCATTGGTTCTGTGCACAGGAGACTGATATTGAAATTAATACCTCTGGTACTTCTAAACTGAAAAAATAGGGACAAAAAGCTGGGAGTATCTACGGTGGCAACAAAGACATTTTAATGACAAAAAGGATAAAACCAAGCCCACAAAAATGACCTAAACCTGGCTGAAACACTTAGGAAGTTCTGGAATGTAAAGGGAGATTATGCCATAATTAGCTACATCTACGCTTTTCAATGTTTCATAACATGGACTGACAAATGAAGCATTGTGAGCTGCACTCTGGTTATTTTACACTGGAATATTGCAAGTGGCTGCATTTAGTTCAGGGGTGGGCACCCTAATCCGTGGAGGCTGCAGGTTTTTGGGATGACCTTTCAATCAGCCAATAATAAAGCAGTGGTTCTCAACTCCAGTCCTGGGGAGCCTCTATTATAGGAGCAAAGAGAAGAATTCCAATGTACTTATGCAAAAGGAAAATAAACTATTATTATTGTTATTGTTTTTTTGCACATGCAGGTCAGTTCAGTACCGTAACCAGTTCACAGTGGAATCTGATATTGGCCACATTTTAAAAATGTGAACAGACAAAAAATTAAAAATAAAAAAATCAGATTTGAGCAGAAAATCCAAACTGAGCACCTAGGCTTGCAGTGTGAATGTAGCCTTTGTTGAGTAAATTTGATTTATCTAAAGTTCTTTATACTCAACACATCTATTCGAGACAACTCATATTTTTGAGGCAGCCGGGTAACTCACTTTTGTAAGTTTAACTTTATTTTTTTTTGCAGTGTACTGCTTATCCAGTACAGGGTCACTGTAGGCAGGGAGATCCTCTTAGCAATAAATGAATTAATGAATCAATCAATTATCTATCTATCGTTAAACATTATGTTATCTCACTGTTTGTTTCAAAGTGTGTGAAAAGAACATGCAATGTCCCATTTTAGGGTATTATAGCTTGTATGTCAGTTACCTGGCCAGCAGGAATCTTCTTCCTAACGTTCTCCCAGTACGCTCTGTTGTCCTCCTCATTTGTGTAATGCAAGAGCCACTCAGCAAAATCCTCCCTTCTCATAGTTTCCATTCCCTTCGAAAACTGCAGAAACTCCATCTCTTGCACTTCAGCTTGCAAGTCCTCCATGAATCTGAGACGGCAGTCAGAAGTTCAATTGTGAGGTAATTCCTCAAAGATATTGGTCATTTCTTTTGTCAAAATTAAGCCTGAATAAAAGTAAATAGGCATGTTTTCATATTATTATTATTATTTTGCAAGCACGAGTTTTGTTTCAGTGATCAGCTATATTAACTGAAAATCCAGTAAACCCATAAAAAATGATTAGGCATATTTACCATACATCTGTACAAAGGTTTTCTACGTTAGGAGTTTCCAACTTTTTGGTGTCCGTGGACAAGTTTACATAATACGTATAAAACCAGCAGACTGGTAAAAAATTTTCCACAATAAAATTGAATGGGGGGCAGTAATAATTTAA